ATATTTGGGCAAAAATGGCCGCTCCCAGACTCAGTGATCGCCACGAAAATTATTGTTTTCATTTTTTACTGATCAAAGCTAAAATCATTAAGTCATAGCGAATGTATTAGTTTTAGGTATAAATAATGATCCATTGATTATTTCTTGCTGACCGGACTTTTCCTTTATTTCTAGATTTAAGAAGATAATTGATTTATTTCGGGTGGTTTGGAAAGTTTTTCTACTAAACTGTGGTTTGTGTTCAAGTATCTCATCCTTGTCATATATTCTAAAATTTTCAACAGTCTGAGGCGTTGCATTGTGATCAATCTGCCAGTCCTATAGGAGCGCCTTCATACCGATCAGCTCCTCTCCCTCCTCTAACAGATCAGCAGTTCTTGATGTGACCTCCTCCAGGTCCTCCTCCACAGTTTTCACCTTCCGTTCCCCGCGGTGCCGAAACACACTCTGCTCATCCACCTGTGAGACGATCAGGAGGAGAATTTTTTTTAAAACCAGACGTTCCAGAGCCACTGAGCTGAGGGGCTTTCAGAGCTGCACTTACCTTAAAAAGGAAACCGAAGCCCATGATCAGGTAGGAGGGCGGGAGGAAGTTTTTCTTCCCTAAAAAGCAAAACCAAGAAGAGAAAATCCATCCTTAGAGCAAACATCCACCTAAGATATGCTCAGATAGTTAAAGGTATAAGAGGTGACATATTACAGACTGATGGCAAGTCATACCTCTGATCATGAAACTCCCAGTAGTCAGATACTCTCCAGTGGGAGCGGTCTTAGACACCTGGAAAAAATAAAACATTTTCTCAGTCAGTAATTACAGCATGCATGCTTATTTATTTTCTTTGTAAAATCTTATTTTAACATGTTGAACATTATGATATTCGCATACATACTCCACCATTCCTCCTGCAGGATGTTCCTTCTATGCTGAGGTTGTTTGCTAGCTAAAAATGTTTTCTGCTAAGGATAAATTGTGAAATTAGATTTTTATTTTCCTCTCCTTACCCGTTCTAATCCTTTTTTTTTATTTATTTGAACCTAACTGTAAAGCCAGCGCCTTTCATGGCAGCATGACACCGCGTCCATGGATAATATCTGTTTTTGTTTTCTTGGGCAGGCTGTACTGAAACTAAAATTCCCGCTGGAATTAATAAAGTATTATTGAATTAAACTAAATTATCCTATGCTGAATTATCTACCAACTGTCATTAAATGTATTGTTGGATAAAACATTTTTTTTTATTAGATTTTCTCGACACCTTACGGTTCCTGATCGGGAACCTCGTTACCACCTGTATGCTACACAATGCAGGATGCACCATTAGGCTGAAACTCGGCCCGATCGAAAAAAATTCTCGAATGACTGGAGAATCGGCCCGAAAAGGAGAAAAAAAAAGGTACAGTGTACGCCCGGCTTTGAGGAATTCCTTTCAGTCGAATATTTTTACTGCCACCCACTAGAGGGCGGCACTTTACTCTTAACCAGAGCCTCGCTGGTAAACAATAGAAGTAATTCCAGAGAGGAGGGATGCTGGAACAGAACCACGGCTGTGTTCGATTCCAGCGACCCAGCGCAGATAGACCGGGTCCTTCCAGGTCTGTGAAAATAAGGAGACCGAAAGAGTTTGGCTGTGGATTCAAATAGGTCCAGCTTTATCCGGCTTTCACCGCCGTATGCTCTGTCGCCTAGCAACCGTTACAGTTGACACAAAAAGCAGGCAAATAATGGATATCAAACTTCTCACAACTGTTCTGGGTGCCAATAACAGCGTATGACGAGCTTCAGCAGCAGTGCTGTCGTCTCAAATATCCGATTTGTAGTCCCCACACTGCACAGATATTGGAATCTGAAAAGTACCTCTCAACACCAAC